TTATTCCTAGTTCCAATAAAATAGCATTCTTTTTATCCGTTTCATCTTGAACTAATAGTCCCATAGTCTAGCGCGGCGCATGCGATGTGGATCCAGTACAATTGGCTCTCCGCGTGCACATGACTGGCAGCACACAGGGGCGGCTGCACCAACGAAACCATCCGTCCTCAGCGATGCAACAAACAGGGCGCAGGTATTCTTGTCGTGAACATCAAGGCTGTTGGGATAAATATATACTTTATACGAAATGCGTTTTGTTAAGGAAGATCTGACCTTTTAGCCCCTTTCTACGTGATTGTTCTTAAGCCTGTGTGCTTGGCTGGACGGAAATACAAAAATCTGATCTGCTGTAGGGTCAGTCGCCCCACAAAGAGTCTGCTCGGCAGCTTTCGGAGGAACTGCCAACGCAACGTATTGCAAAGCAAATCCTTTGCAAGCTTAAAGTTTGGAAGGATTCAACGGTGTTTACAAACCTGCACATAGTCATCTGTGTCAGCGGGCCGCTCTGCCTCTCCCTCCTATTTTGGAGGAGGACTCGCAGCCGTCGGCCATCCACTCCTGTCGGGTCCATGTCTACAGTGAGCCGCTGTAGAGCTGTGCACTCTGATAGTGCCTGGGGAAGGCACGCAGTCGCGTACACGGTAAGGTCCTCCAGGATAGATGCATGAGCCTGGACTAGCGCGTTCACGGCATTTTCCGGGACCTGAAATACATAAAGGTTCAGGTCCGGGAGAAACGAGATGCGGATTTGGGGGAAGAATGAGACAGCACATATCACTAGACATTATTTAAACAATTCGTAATTTCACGAATGCGTTTGACTCAGCACAAACAATAGCTCTGAAGGCAGAAATATTGCAGGAAATTCCATGGCATCTGAATAAAAATATCGTCATTTGATGATGCCGAGGGGTGTTTAGACAAAATACCGTGAATATTTTTATTCTGTGTTTGTTATAAAACATAATATTGAGACGGGCACACTCGCAGTAATTTGAACTACGGGCACGAGGACAAATGGTGATCACTAAAAATAATTATCGTGATTTTACCAAATTTTCTCGGCTAATTTTCGGGTAGGTCCTAGAAGGTCCCCTGTCTGCACTGCCGAAAAAGATGTGTACGCAGTCTGTGTACGATAGAGTACGGATTATGTACTATTGTGGTACCACGACCCAAGTGCACCAACATGTTACACAAATTGTACACACCTACCTACCTGTACCCAATTCGTTACCATATACCATATCGTACACAAAGACATGTGGACATCTGATCGCCAGACTGTACCGTAAGTGTACACCCCTGCAAAGTTCTCTTCTCGCATACCACAAGTGTACACAGAGTGACATTGAATCAATCGAGGTACAAACTGTGTACAAATGAATCAAGAGCATTTTAATGTACGATCTGTGTACAGATTTATGCTTCTAAAGATTGTACGATCTGAGTACACATTTCTGCTTCTCAAGTGTGTACGACCTCTGTACACATTTCTGCTTGACAAGTGTGTACGATCTCTGTACACACTATTGATTTGCGAAGATGTACGAGGGTCGTTCTCCCAAAAGTAGGCAAAAACGTGTCCAGTGGTTTTGGGGTTACCGAACGGACAGATGCCCGGGAAAGGCCCAGGGATGGGTTACCGAAAGACCAAAACATCCCGGCAGGGTTACCGAAAAGACAAATAGTGTGTCCGGGGGTTACCGGAAAGACATGAAATTGTTCGAAGGTTACCGGAAAGACAGCAAGTGTTTCCGTAGGTTACCGGAAAGACATAAAAAGTGTCCGGAGGTTACCGGAAAGACCTAAGAATGTGTCTGGAGGTTACCGGAAAGACAAAAAATGTGTCCGGAGATTACCGGAAAGACCTAAGAATGTGTCCGGAGGTTACCGGAAAGACATAAAATGTGGCCGGCGGTTACCGGAAAGACTAAAAAATGTATCCGACGGTTACCGGAAAGACAAAAAAAATCTGCTTTATCTGTGTATGTGGGCAAGATATCGCGGTTTCGATCACACCATGAGCTTACTTTTGACGAGTTCTTTCAATCGAGCTCATCTTACGTTTATCGCTGATTTCTCCTAACGCACTAGGGTTTTTTTCATTTTGACTCCACTATTGTCTTCCTCATGAAAAAACCTTTCAAACGAGCATAAGGTTGATGGGGTTCTGATGTACCTACTGCTAACTAGCGTCCTACCATTCAGAACCTTATCAACCTTATGCTCGTTTGAAAGGTTTTTTCATGAGGAAGACAATGGTAGAGTCAAAATGAAAAACACCCTAGTGCGTTAGGAGAAATCAGCGATAAATGTAAGATGAGCTCGATTGAAAGAACTCGTCAAAAGTAAGCTCATGGTGTGATCGAAACCGCGATATCTTGCCCACATACACAGATAAAGCAGATTTTTTTTGTCTTTCCGGTAACCGTCGGATACATTTTTTAGTCTTTCCGGTAACCGCCGGCCACATTTTATGTCTTTCCGGTAACCTCCGGACACATTCTTAGGTCTTTCCGGTAACCTCCGGACACTTTTTATGTCTTTCCGGTAACTCCCGGACACTTTTTATGTCTTTTCGGTAACCTCCGGGACACTTCTTGTCTTTCCGGTAACCTTTTGGGCACACTACTACGTTCATTCGTTCACACCTACTGCATGTTCTACCCAGCCGGCAACCGATTTGCCCGCCACGCCTGCCACCCTGTCTATCCGGTAACTCCGGAGATTGACAAAAGTGGGGGACAAGCTTTAATTTGACTTTTCATGTGAACAAAACATGTTTGGACATGCAACTCTTGTCGCAATCGCAAGTTGGACCTCTGATCTATCGTTTTCATTAGTAGTTTGATCTTAGTTCAAGGTTTGAATAGTTTATATTTCATATTTAAAAAAGTGAGGGACACGATTTTTAGCCTTTTTACTCCGTTTTTTGAGAAACATGTGTGAATTTCTGGACTATAAAGTTTGAATTGTTGCCATAATGCATTTGGATTATGTTTCTAGATCAACAACGAATGTTTAGAGACCGTTCCGAAGTACCTAGCTAGAAAAACTGAATTTTGAGAGCAAAAAGACACGAATTTCCCGTCTTCAGTAGAATGACCCACGAACTGTGTAACATTGAAGAGCGACTGATTTTGCGTGCACCTCGTGTACGCTTACACAATAAGTGTGATCAAACTGTTTACTCTGGGACCACTCGCAGTCTATGTGAAAACTGTGTACAACTAAGATATGTGTGTACACAAGCTGAGTCCTAACCTGTTCAGAAATGTCTCCGCGACGGACTAAACAATCTGCATTTCCGCCGCAGTAAGTCCTTTTTGCTTCGCGTCAGTCTAATCCTGACCAACGTTCTCACTTCTCCGTACATATTTCAATATGGAGTATCGGAAAGAAGAACAGATTAACTGTAAAAGGAGATTGTTTAAATATGTGTGTAAGAATAGGATTAAACGCTTATCCAGCGTTAACCTATCAACTCTGTATTGGGAATACCTCTACCTCAAATTGTTTTTCCCTGCTTTGTAATGAAGATGGTTGATATTTTATTAGAGCAAAATTCCCTGCCTCACTGTCCTATCTTCTGTATGGGTCAATTTACTTAAAGCAAAGTAACCAAATTAAAGCGACGTCGTACAAAGGGCACAGCGTAAATTGCAAGGTTATATGCTGGCTTCTAAGTGCGTGTCATAATTGAACACCAGGTGTACCACAAAATGCGGAATATTGTGTTGTTTTTTCTCTATGCCTAATTATCCACATTGTACTCACGTTTCCGCCCATAACTTGTGCTATTCAGAGCAAAAGTTTCTCCAGGCTTATTATAATATCTTAATGTACACAGATTTTACCCAATCTGTACATAATGTGCCCCCTTACTTTCTGCACAAGCCGTACATAAGTTGTACACAGTTTGTACCCTAATTTTGTACACTATCCTTGCATATATTTTGGGCCAATCTACATAGTTTGCACACACTTCTGGACGCACAAATGTAGTCTCGTACCATAGGCGTACTCAGAATGTACACGCTGGCGTACACACGATGTACATACCTCGCACAGACACCATACCCTTCTCTGTACGCAGTTTGTACATAAACGGTACATAGTTATTTTCGGCGGGGTGGAGGGTCCCCCCTGAATTTGTTACTATTGTTTGTAGTTTTTATTTTAAAAAAATGGTTGTAACCATTTAAACAAGAACCTACAAGTTGTTTTACGAATTACTTTGTTAAATCCAAAGCTTTAACTAAATAGTATGAAATTTTTATATATTGTGTACAACTTCTATGACTCATGACACAATAATTTGCATTTCTTTACGAAATACATTTGTAAAATTACGAAATGTTTTGTAAATTGACACTTACGAATCATTTTCATAAATTATTTTTTACAAAGCATTTCGTAACATATATTTTCATAAGGCCACACAAACTTTTTACAGTGATGTCACGATCCGGTGACCAATCAAATTGCGAGAGATCTGGAATCTCAAGGTAGCCCAACATTATTTGGACCCATTTTGGCCTCTAGTGCTCTCAGTGGGGTTTTGTAGCCCTCTTTATTATGCAACAATGCTCTTGAGGCCTGAAGGGAATACCATCATTCACACTTTCAGAGTTATAACTCTGTTATATAGAGAGCTATCAGATGAAGTACCATCAGCACTTCCAGTTTCATATGGTACATGTTTAATAATAATATATTTGACCAGAGAAACATGACACATGTTAACAGAACAACACTCGTTGATTCTAGAACCATGTAGATGTAAAGCAACTGAGCACTGAAAGAGCCTTTGTAAAGAACGAGTACCAGTATTCACACAAAATTAATTTTGTGTTTTCTTTCCTCCTTGTTTTAAACAGTCATACACTTGAGCGAAAGTCTGCATACGAGTGATTCTCAAAAAAACTGTCCGATTCAGAAAAAGCGATTCTAAGAGCCAAGCGGCCTAACTCGTGGTAACGGGGCAGACATCCCCATGGGAAAATTACGTTTCATCCACGTTGCATCCAGGTTGCATCCACGTCCAGCACGTAGCGGACGTGGATGCAACGTGGATGCAACGTGGATGAAACGTGATGAAACGTAATTTTCCCATGGGGACAAGGCTACTACGAGGTGAGGGTGAGGGGGTGGACATTGATGTGGAATGGAAGGTGACGGGGTGGACATAAAATGATAAAGGAAGGTGACGGGGTGGACATAGAAGTAGAAGTTCAAGTACACTGGGAGGTGAGGGGACGTACAAAACTTAACACTGGCAATGGAGTGGAACGGAGGATGACGGGGCGAACAAAACTGAATATTGGTGGTGATGCGGACATAGAAATAGAATGGGAGATGAAGTGACGGATAAAAGTTGACTGACCCAGCCCAGGACACATTTATCGTCATAATTTTGAGCGACAAATCGAATAAGGACCTGCCAGCTTGTAACTGTCAGTTATCTCCTCGCGATAGGGGATTCACAGGGATGTGAATCATCTTGCGGGCATCACCATCGTCTTCCTTTTGAAAAGACATTTCAAACGAAGCATAAGCTTGATAGGGTTCAGTGCCCCACGGTAAAAAGATTTTCTTTTAATTCAAGACTATTTCTTGAATTTCAAGGACGGTTAGATAATTTCCAGATTGACCCTTGAAATCCCAGAATCTGCCTTGGAACCATTTGCTTCCAAGAAAAAGCCTTGGAGTTTTTGGTCTGGTATGCAAAAGGTTGCCTTGGATTACCAGACGCTAACTCCAAGGCTTTCCCTTGGAAGCACAATGGTTTCAAGGCAGATTCTGGGATTTCAAGGGTCGATCTGTAAATTATTCACCTGTCCTTGAAATTGAAGAAAAAGTCTTGAAATCCAAGGAAAACGTTTTACCGTGTCATTAGTCATCAGGAACGAAACTAGTGAACGACGCGTCATCACGAGATCCAAAGTCTCAATTTTTAAAAACTGTGACCTTACGACTTACGCCATTGCTACTTGTCAAATCTTTTCGAATAAGACACAACAATTGGCAGTCGAACATGTGGGATAAAGCGGCATGTGTCTAAATTGAGCACATGGTATTTCAGCCCTCCGTTGACTAATCGTCACTTCCCTTACCCGTCTAAGAAACGTAAGGTGTTTTAGAGTCGTGCTGGGCGCACACTCGCGAAAAGGAAAATCGGGAACAACGTATTGATTATTCCAGTCAGCACCATGTCTGATGGTTAAACTAGTCAGGTTCGGCAGCGAAACGACAGTCTTTAAACATTCCATAGAGGGATTTAGCAGCGTCACATTCTGGAAACAAAAAGAAACAAAAAAACAAAAACAAAAAAAAACACTCCAGCAGGTACCTTGCCGACCACTTCAAATCAATAATGCTTGTGAAGACATGTCTTGGACATGTGTTGGACGCACCTCAAGGCAATGGCTCCAGCGGTTTATGTACTTTAGTGCAGAAACGAGACCCCCGTTTACCTCTAGGCCTCGCGGCTGAAACGAGAATCAAGAATCGAAATTGAGTGCTGTTAATAAAATTTATGCTCGTCCCCCTGACAACATACTATTGCAACAAATCCTGAGAGAAACAGACCTTGCATTGAGATTCCCGAAAGACGGCTTTCCTGGCAGCAGGAGACATGCCATTATTGCAACGAATCATGGCCAGGCACGGAGCGAAGCGCACGGTCCGAGAGAATTCTTGAGCATTGGCATGCTTTCCCCACGCACCATTGACAAGGTACAAAGGGTGTAAGCGTCGGCTAAAAACAGAAAACAAGCCGTCTGAGTTTGGTAAGTGTGCCCTGGTTGTGTTCTTTCCCGACCGGACTGCGCGACATGCACATGCATTAAAATTCCTAAAAGCCGTTACACTACTTTGCTCGGGAAGCATAGCACTTAACTTAAAATCAACAAAAAAATTTTTATATAAAGTATTTGTGCAACACGTGTCACTGAATTTGTATAAGATTGTAACGTAAAATGATTTGTATATTCGATGTTAAAAACACACACGAACGTAACAAAGAGCTTTGTATTATATTACATAAAGTGATTTTCAGTGCCAAACCGAGCAGGCCAATCACAGCCCAGCGCACTGTTAAAAATTTTGGGGGAGATTTTACAGAAAAAGTCTAGGTATACTGGTTGCCAAGTGAAAGTCTGGTAAAATTACCACTGCTTGTAAAATTACAGAACACTTGTAAAAATAACTCCAAAAAATTTCTGTAAAACTGATACCAAATATTTCTGTAAAAATGTTTAAGTGTAATTTTTACCCACATTTTTCTGAGGTAAAATATGCAAGAAAAAATATTTTCAGCGGCTGTTTCTTTGTTCTATTCATTTCATGTCGTCAATCGCTGACAGATTTTTCTGGTGAAACTGCTTGAATTGCTCGAACTCTAGGTGGAATCGAACCCCCGACCTTCTGGTCGTGAGCCCGATGCCTTGCCCATTGCGCTACGGCGCGCTCTATGCAGGTAGCCCGTCCGTACTCCATCTCATGCTTCCTACTGTCCACGCGACTTTTCCTCCGGTCACTGTTAAAAAAACTGTAGCCAATTACAGTGAGCATACAGTCCTAACTGTATTTTACTTTACGGTGAGACTATATTGTATTTAACGGTCAGGAACTGTATTTAATTTTACGGTTGAACTGTATTTTGAAATACAGACCGGACTGTTTTCATTTTTACAGTCTGAGCTGTTACAGTCCAGACTGTAGTTCAGAATACAGTCCTGCCTGTATTTTCATTTACGGTCGAGACTGTAAAATAAATACCGTAAAAGGCGGTTATAGAGGACAAAATCTACAAAAACCCATTTGAAATTTCCACCCACCAGGTCTAAGATTACAGTCCGACTAAACCTAAATTTTACAGTCTAGATTGTAACAGGTCAGCCTGTACATTTGAATACAGTCTGACCGTATTCTACAAAACAGTGCAGACTTTTACAGGCGGTAACAGGTCGGACTGTAAAATTAAAAACAGTCCGACTGTAAAATTAAATACAGTCAGGCCAATATAAAAATTTATTGGCCATCCTGTACGAATTACTGTAGGTTTTTTTAACAGTGTAAGCTGCCCTCTCTTCTAATGTTGGTACGTTATTATCCACAAAACAGGATTCTTCCCGTTGTTCGCTGTTTGAACGCACTGGCGTTCAACATTGGACATATTTTCTGGACAATTTGAACCGTATTTCTTTTGTGTTCGAAAAATTACAGAAAGTATCTGAAAACCTTCATTACAGAGCATCTGTAATTTTACTAATACCTGTAAAATTACGAGAGTACGTGGAGATTTTTACAGACGCTTGTACATTTACAGTAGTTTTCGCGAAAACGACCGAAGATCTGTAATTTTACAGGTACTTGTAATTTTACCACAGAATGTCGGTAAAACTAACATCTTCTGTAAAATCACACCACTATTTCTGTAATGGATTACACGAATTATCGGTAAAATCACTATTATTTTTTACAGTGCGGTGCG